CTCCAGCCCTGGACACCCAAAGGGATGCTCTGTGTGTCCTCCAGCACCCGCCTGACCTTCCCCTCGACCCTCCTGCCCCGTGGTCACGGCTTTTCCTTTAAATCTTTAATTACCCATCCCCATTGCTCCATCCTCCGCCCTTCATCCGATGGCCAAGTCCACTCACTCACCTCTTTTCTTCCCTTCTGGCTTTCCTGGAATCCCAGAGCCACGTGCTGTCACCATTGGAGCACTGGCCATTGAGGTTTCCTCGGCAAACATCGATTTTTTTTTTTAGAGGAGGTTTCCCGTGATTTTTTTTTTTTTATTTTTATTTATTTTTTGGGGGGTTTTGTTTCAGTTAAAGCATCATCCACCCTTTGGAGCAAAGGTCCCTTCCAGGAAGTTTGGAGGAAAGGGCAGGGAGTTGTGCTCTGCTGGAGGGAGGTGCCAGCTCTGTGGTGCCATTTCAGGCGGTCGCTGGGCGCTGGGAATGCTCTGAAAGCTGCGGAGGCTTCACTAAAACTGGGTTTGGGCAGCTTTGGATCAGAACCGAGAGGAATTATGGAGACAGGGACCAATGGATGCATGGAATGGTTACATAAGTAGGAGCCTTCAGCCGGGAAAAGGGGGATTATGGGCAGCACAGAGGAGGGAAAGGCTCGTTCCCTGCTCCTCCTGATGCTGGAACAGGCACTGGAAGGGAGGAGGTAAAACCCTCTCTGCTCATGAGGCTCTTTTGCCACATCCTGGGAGCCAAATTTAAGGGCTGAGGGAATATTTAAGAGTTGAGAGAATATTTAAGGTTGGGAGAATATTTAAGGGTTGGGAGAATATTTAGGGGTTGAGAGAATATTTAAGGACTGAGAGAATATTTAAGGGTTGAGAGAATATATAAGGGTTGAAAGAATATTTAAAACTTGAGAGAATATATAAGAGTTGAGAATATATAAGGGTTGAGAGAATATTTAAGGGCTAAGGGAATATTTAAGGGTTGAGAGAATAGTTAAGGGTTGAGAGAATAGTTAAGGGTTGAGAGAATAGTTAAGAATTAAGAATAACAATAAGAACAAGAATAAGAAAGGAGTTTCAGCATTCTTCTTGAATATCCACCAAAGCTTTCAGCAGCTGAGTTGTCTCCAAATGAGCTGTTTAAGAACATTCACCTCATTTTAGAGAGGGAACATCAAATAACGAGCCAGAGTTGATTTTTTGGGGGGTGTTTTGTCAGTACTATAAGTCCCTCTTGTCTCAGTTAGTTCAGCCCAAGGCTCTGTTTGTGGGGTTTTGGTGAAGAAGTGGTTGGTGAGGAAAGAGATGTAGGGTCAAAGGGCTCTTTTGGTTTGCTGGCTCCCCCAAAAGAAACCCAACCAAAAACGGCTTTAAAGCCAGGAATTCAAAAATAAGTCCTGTGAAAAGTCTGGCTCTACTTTCCCTAAAACCTCCCACCAAAAAAAAACAAAAAACAAAAAAAAACCAAACCAAAAAACTGAAGGCAGCAAAAAGAGAGACCAACCCCTTCTTTTGGGCTCTCCTCGCCTTCCATCTGCTCCCCATCCTCCTCCATCCACTCCAAATATCCCAGTGCTTGGCTGGAATTGCCGAGGGATGTCAGCCCAGGCTTCCCTCGGTGCCATCCATTAAGGGAAATAACCAGCGTGGCCACTAAAAATAAACACGGGGTGGGTTTTTTTTTTTTTTTAA